TTTAAAAAAAAAAAAAAAAAAAAAAGTAACCTTCAACTTATTTTTCAAATGTGTCGGTCTTGGGGAAAGAACTCAGATGTCTCGAGTCCTAAATCCTCTTGTGCTTTCTTGTTCCATGCAGTGCGGTTTTCTGGTGTGGTGCATGGCTCCAAGCCCTTCCAATGGAGCAGAGTTCCTCTACCATCGAATTATCCGCCCTTTCTTCCTGAAGCATGAGGCTCAGCTGGATGACGTTGTAAAAGATCTGAAAGACAAAGCTGCAGAAACTGCTGATACCATCACTAGGGAAGGTGAGGCCAAGACTGAAAAGTCTATAAAAAGAATTTGCAATTTTACCTTTCCAGTATCGCTGTTTTAGGAAAAAGTCAAGAACATTGGTATTGTTAGATGCTGCTTTTCAAGATATTAGGGTTGAGGGGGACAGTGTTGTTTGAATGGAGAAATTAAGTTTGAAAGTCCAAGAAAGAGGCATGGTGCTTCAAGTCTGCTGTTTTTTAGAGCATGTTAATGCTAAATGGCTGTTAGCTTGTTTGAACCCCAATCTAAGGAAAGAAGGGACCTCGTGGAAAAACAGTTGAAGCATCTTTAGACCATAAATCATATTGTCGCATGAGATTTCCCTTTATTCTCTAATTTCCCCATTTTTTTTGTCTATTTGTATTTACGTGTGACCTTTACTAGGAAAACATACCTGGTGTTATATACAGTATCAGTTATAAAATAGATAACTTCCATTTTCTCTACTGTTTCTGTTCTACCTATTGCCTATGTTTTATGCCTATTCTGTTACTTTCCTCCTCTTTCATCTTCCTTTTGTTTCCCATCTTTAAATACCTTTTTAGACCTGAAGAGTTGTATATACATCTTTTACATCTTTACCCCTTGCTAACACTATCCCAGTTCCACACCATTTGACTAGTCTGTTTCTTGCTCTGGACTTTATAGTAGAGTTACAAAATATACATCTACTTTAGCATACTAAACCCAGTTTTTCATTTTAAATGGTACTACTTAGACTTATCACTGCTTCCCTATAATATAAAGGTTAGGATTCTGCTGTTAAGTTTATAGTAAATCTCATTTCATTCCCTGATTCTCCTCAGGTAGGTTTGGTTGGTTAAATGTTGTCCTTCCACTGGAGGTGGGACTTGAGTCTTTTACATCTCCATAGCAGTAAAGCAAGTTACTTCTAGTATGCTAAAAGTTAACACTTATCTTTTTTTTTTTCCCCCCCCTTCCCCCTTTCCATCTTACAGCCAAGAAAGCTACAGTGAATTTACTGGGTGAGGAGAAGAAGAGTACTTAAAACAGTTAACTGGATGAAGAAAGTTTCCCTCCCCCTCCCCCATCACCTCCTTTATAAAGCTTGATGTTACTGGGGACTATGGTATAATTTTAACAATGTTGCCTTGGAAACATTTTTGATATATTAGGGGAATGTGTTGTAAGTTTTGCTTACTACTTTGCTGTTGTCTGTATAAAAAGTGAGCATTTTTATTTAAATGCAGTGCAGTGAGCAGCATCTAAAGCTTATTGAAAATATTTTATTAGTCACTGTGAAGAGGAAGATCTTTCAGTAGCTTCCTCTTGCAGTAAACATAAATAAAATTATATATCCCACAGGCTCTGCAACTCAGTTTTTCTTTATGCATGCATTCTCTGTAGTTCTGTTAATATTTTAACTGTGGTTCTTCCTGTAATGTACAACCCTTGTATGGAAAAAATGTTCCGAATGCATTTCCATGCATATATTTACATATACAAGGACTAGTTATCAAAAGAAAGTGTTTTATGATACCTCCCCACTAATGAAGTGATTTAAGCTGAGTGCAGTAGGCACCTGGTCACAGAGATTCTGTGTTGCACATGTGTGTGTTCTTAAATGAGTAGAGGTTACACACAGAAAAAAAGTACTTTGGTGCCAGTGACCAAATTTATACTGGTGTGAAGTTATTTGCCAGAAATGGATGCACTGAATTGCTTGTCTAAGGTGAGTAAAGCCTACTCCCTTCCTTGTTTAGTTAAATGCAGCAGGCATCTAAAACTAAGAATGGAGTGCCTTATAAATAAATTGACTCAGAAGAAAGGCAGAGGTACCTTTCACTGAAAATTAACTAAAAACCCCTGCTGAAGAGTTTTACAGCTGGCACTAATTATGGGGACTGACTCTTGCCTTACCATTGTTCCCATCAGCACCTTTCTCCATTAATTTTCCTTGCTGTACATGTTGGCTGCATACAGGGATGTTGCTCCTCCCAAGCTTTGTAAGGGAATGCAGTCCCTCTTGTAGGGAGTAGTAGAGTTGTCTGGGTTGCTTGATTTGACAGGACTGAGAACATGACCAGACTTAGAAGGAAGAAAAATTACAATTCATTAAGCAGAATCTGATCCCATGATCTTGAGCATACATGTACCATGGTACCTTCATTGCTGAACTTTTTTTCATAGCAGTCTCATGCTGCTTCAAAAAATACTGCAGTCATCAAGTTTGTTACCTTCCCCACTGACACTTCCTTGGTGTTCCATGTTTTAATTATAAACAAGGAAAAGTGAAATGTTTGATATTTGTGGGTCAGTCTACATACCAAAGAAAAAAAAAGGCTTGCAAATCTGAATCTTCTTATGAAAAGGCTTTTCTAAATTTTCAAATGCGAGTGGTGTGGCCCCAAACATTGTTCCCCAAGGATATTGCCAAGGGGTGAAACTTGCCTGTGGAATACAAAAGTGTTACTGCTGCATCTTGAGGGCAGGATATTTTCAATAGGCTTCATAAAATTTAAAGCTGGAAGGGATATCGGTAAACTTCTCTTACTGAGAAGTTGTGTGTCTACTACTGTGTTACAGGGCAAAAAGGCAAGGCTTGTACTTTTGAAGGGACAACTTGAAATAGCATGATGCACCCCCAAAAAGTATATCATGCATTTTTAAGGCAAATAACTTTGTTTTTTGACAGCTCTTTGCTAGAAACTGACCTACATTAAAAAAAGAGTTTAATTTTGGAGCTGTGGAAGTGAGCAAGTAGACCAGTTCTGTAGCTGGATTATTCTGCGAGTGACCTCTGTGTCCTTATCTTGCTGGTGCCTTAGAGCTGTGATAGGGCTGTTGAAACTTTCAGAGCAGTTGGGTTCTTGCTATACTCTTAAGGATGCCTCAGCAGAGTTTTTAGGTGGGAAATGCTCCCTTGTGTTCCAATAATTTTAAATGTAAACACTCCTTCCATTTAATATTACAGTGCCTCCTGTTTCAAAACCTCTTCCTGGTATTAATAAAATACGAATGGCAGGTGAAAGGTACTCTTTAAATTGCTGCAACCTTTTCCCTTATCCTACCAAAACAGAGTCTGTCCTGTTTGTTTCTGGCCAAAGGAATGGTACTGCAAGACTGGAATTCAGCTTAAGTTAGGAGCGTTGATAATGGCTTCAGCAAAAGTAATAGCTCCTTATTTGGTTTTGGCTTGCTCAGAGGGACAAGCACCATTTTACAAAATGAGGGAAGAGCAAGGGTTAAATCAGTCTATCCCTGGGATCAAGCACAGCTGTGGCTTAACTCAACTTGGCAGTGTAGGAGTTGAGTGTTCAGAGGGACAGCACAATGCAAACTTAGATGGAATACAAAAAGAAGCAACATGGGTAATTAAAAAAGGCAGCATTGAAATCTAGACAAATGCTATGACCTCTTGTGGCTTAGACAGTAGGAGGAAAAAGCTTTAGCAGGGATTTAAACCCTAGATTTGTGAGAATCCACACCTTTTAGGGCCATGACTCATTTTAATTTATTTTCATAAAGCGCTTAAGATGCAAAATTACATCAGCTATATACATGCCAATCAGTTGGGCCAATGTAACTTAAATTTAAGTGCTCCTTTTTTTCTTAAGGATTTATAGTGAATAGTGATAGCCCTGCGGCTTAGTACTCAGCATGATACAGGTAACAAAGTACTGTCTAAGCAAACTATACCCTGCAGGGCTATTAAATACTATTTATATTAAAAAGAGGTGGGGAAATAAAACTAGGGGGTTAACAGAATTCCCACAATTAACTAGATTTCTTAAAGGAAGCTTGAGAATACAATTCCCTGATTCTCAAACCAGTCCTCAGTTCCTCTATT